AAATGGAATCAACGTCACTGAAGTTAAGAGTAGCAGAAATAGTGAAAAATAATCTTAATCTGTCGAAAAATGTATATTCATAATGTTATCATATTTCAGTCCTTAATCTTAGATAGTAAAATCAAAACGTTGACAATTTAATAAATTCATGGAAACAATAAAAAACTCATTCTGTTTCTCTCAATCAAGGTACAATTGCAGGAAGCATAATACGTAATTAATTTACTAATATTAGAGGAATCTCCTGAACATGAAAGTCCTTAAACTAAGCCTGGCACATATCCTCATTTGATCTTAGAAGAAGATGAATAATAGTAGTTTCTGGAATAGGTTTCTTCAGTCCAACCAACTATTTAAAACAAAGGAATAGCTAAAGTCCCTATTACTACAAAGTCAACTCTTAAGGATTAAGGTATCTTATAATTTTTACTATTATAAAGTGAATAATGAAAAGAAAAAATCAGTAGTATATTCAAAAGATGCGAATATGTTTTCTAATACACAATAATAAGCAATATCTCAACAAAATCAAAATGTTATATAAAAGAAAAATAATACAGCTGTTAGGCCATAAACATCTAAGGTTCAACCTTAACCTACTCCTAGTCAAATTGCATAAAAAAAAGCTGTATAATCTAAATAAATTAATATGAAAATGTCCTAAGAAATTATTGCAGATGGTATTGATACTTTATATTCATAGTTCCCTAAACTCCATCATAATAAAAAATGAAATAAAGTTCATTATTAGAAAAAACTAGATAAGTTAAAATGAATTAGGCATCAAATAAAGTATAGACTAAATCCATTTAAACTAATTAAGGTGAAGAGAAGATATTGATTTAATAAATCTAGAAAGTCAAAGAAACCATTCTGAAATTATATGAATAAAAATTTGATCATTAAATGTCCCATTCTTCAAGTAATATAGCTAAGTATATAAATATTATTTAATTATTTAGAAACTTTGATTAAATTGTAAATGCAATTAAACTCGATTTTCGTTGCTTAGAAAATGATTGATTTAGTATAAAATCATTATAATAAAATTATGATTTCTTTTTCTTTTATTATTTATTTAACTTTATTGTTTTACTAATTTTAAATTTTTTATAATCTATACATATAAATTAGAAAAATTCATAAAAAAATAATCATCTCTATTTTTTTATTATTTTTTGTAGAATAAAATGAAATTAAAACAGATTAAATATTTGTTAAATTTTATTTTCAAATACATATTATTGGTGTTATAATTTAAATATCATTTGAAAATGCTATTATGATATTATCAATTTAACTTGTATAAATAATCAACATCANTCAGATTAATAATCGATATATAGCGAAATTCGAAGAATTAGAACAAATTAAGGAGAAGCTAGCCTAAACTTCTTAAAGAACTCGTAATATATCCTCAGATAGATAATAAACAAATGGAATCAACGTCACTGAAGTTAAGAGTAGCAGAAATAGTGAAAAATAATCTTAATCTGTCGAAAAATGTATATTCATAATGTTATCATATTTCAGTCCTTAATCTTAGATAGTAAAATCAAAACGTTGACAATTTAATAAATTCATGGAAACAATAAAAAACTCATTCTGTTTCTCTCAATCAAGGTACAATTGCAGGAAGCATAATACGTAATTAATTTACTAATATTAGAGGAATCTCCTGAACATGAAAGTCCTTAAACTAAGCCTGGCACATATCCTCATTTGATCTTAGAAGAAGATGAATAATAGTAGTTTCTGGAATAGGTTTCTTCAGTCCAACCAACTATTTAAAACAAAGGAATAGCTAAAGTCCCTATTACTACAAAGTCAACTCTTAAGGATTAAGGTATCTTATAATTTTTACTATTATAAAGTGAATAATGAAAAGAAAAAATCAGTAGTATATTCAAAAGATGCGAATATGTTTTCTAATACACAATAATAAGCAATATCTCAACAAAATCAAAATGTTATATAAAAGAAAAATAATACAGCTGTTAGGCCATAAACATCTAAGGTTCAACCTTAACCTACTCCTAGTCAAATTGCATAAAAAAAAGCTGTATAATCTAAATAAATTAATATGAAAATGTCCTAAGAAATTATTGCAGATGGTATTGATACTTTATATTCATAGTTCCCTAAACTCCATCATAATAAAAAATGAAATAAAGTTCATTATTAGAAAAAACTAGATAAGTTAAAATGAATTAGGCATCAAATAAAGTATAGACTAAATCCATTTAAACTAATTAAGGTGAAGAGAAGATATTGATTTAATAAATCTAGAAAGTCAAAGAAACCATTCTGAAATTATATGAATAAAAATTTGATCATTAAATGTCCCATTCTTCAAGTAATATAGCTAAGTATATAAATATTATTTAATTATTTAGAAACTTTGATTAAATTGTAAATGCAATTAAACTCGATTTTCGTTGCTTAGAAAATGATTGATTTAGTATAAAATCATTATAATAAAATTATGATTTCTTTTTCTTTTATTATTTATTTAACTTTATTGTTTTACTAATTTTAAATTTTTTATAATCTATACATATAAATTAGAAAAATTCATAAAAAAATAATCATCTCTATTTTTTTATTATTTTTTGTAGAATAAAATGAAATTAAAACAGATTAAATATTTGTTAAATTTTATTTTCAAATACATATTATTGGTGTTATAATTTAAATATCATTTGAAAATGCTATTATGATATTATCAATTTAACTTGTATAAATAATCAACATCATTTACACTAAAACTGAATATTGTTATATAAGGATATATCATTGATGCCATTAAAATATAAAAGATCTTAGTAGAACTATAATACAATCGATCAAGTTAATTTAAATAACTTTGATAAATAAGCAAAGAACTAACTTCTCTAAATTATATAAGAATTCCTTAATTAAGAAATTCTAATTCACATTTTAGAAGAAAAAAGAACTTTAATTTTAGATATTTACAATCCATACAAACAATTAACTGTAATTAATGAAGGATGAATTATAATAATATTATTTAATTATAATGTTTACATCATAAATTCTTTATCAAATTAAAAAATAAAGTGAAGAAATACAAGAACCTAATAATGATGAGTAAACATAATAAATATGTATAAACTTCATGATCAATTGAAATTAACCTAATAAATGACAGAGTGAATAAAAATTCTAATTTATTTAAGTAAATCTATTATATAAAGAATATTTAATTTAAATTGCATAGATTACTATTATTTTTAAAGTAATAAAATATGATTTTTTTTAATATTAAATTAAAATTGTTCCATAATTCAATAATTTGGCGAAATTCTTAAAATAAATCATTTGTTAAAATAAACATCAAAAATTCATCAACAACATGAAGAATTCTAATTTCCATTAGATTTATTAATAACTGGTTATATTTCAGTCATTGAACCTAATTTAATTCCATTTTATGGATCATTTAAATCAATCTCCTTATTTTTTATTTTTGTATATATTTTTTGTACTAATGTTTCAAAAGCTAGTATAACATTTTCACCTGTTCTTGCTGATGTTTCTAAATATAAACAACCTGTTTATTAAGCCAATTATTATGCTTCATCTTAAGACACTTCTCTTCCCCACTAATCAATTTTATTGCCAACTATCATTATTTCAGCTAATGAATCTTACTTTACCTCATTTAACCAATTAATGAGATGATGGAATGATTTTTTCTTGGTCACATCATAAACTAATAAACATGCAATTGATCTAAATATTAAATTTCTTTTCTTTACCCTCGATAATATGCTCTTGTAATAGACCTAAATGATTCTTAACCTGCCTAACTAATATTAAGAAGTTTACAGTATCCCATATATTAATTCTAATTACACTATCCTTATAAACAATGTCTTTCTATCCAAATCCAATCCCAATAGTTGAATCAATATTATTTTTAAATTAACCTTCAATAAATTATTGGAGTAAACAACTTTTCCCAACCCCAGAATTACCTACTATGATAAATTTAAAACTATAATGGTAATTACACTGTTATTAATTCATAATAATACAAATAAAATTTGTTAATAAAATAAATAAAATGAATCCAAATACACCATTCAACGAACGATTTGCTAAAATCTCTGAAAAACTCAGTTCAATCTAATTGCATCATGATAGTTCTAAGGCTCATCGTATAGATGTTATTTGTGGACGTGTATCTGGTGTAGAGGAAAGAATCCAAGATACAATCACATCATATAACAGAAAACTTGTATAAATTTTATCTCATTTTAGCATTCTCTAAAAGATGAAATTGTGAGATTGTAAAAATAAATTGAGGAAGAAAACAATGCTTTTGAAACTCAATTTGAATAAAGAGTAAGAGAAGTTGCTGCTTTTGAGAGTCGTATAACGACTAAATTAGAATAAGAGATTTCAATTAGAAAGGATGGTAATCTTAAATTGTAAGGCTATTTGGATGAAAAAGTAATAATGTATAATTTATTTAGGTTGTTTATTTAAAATCAGATATTTAGACAGAGAGTAAGATTAGATAGGAATAGATTGAAAATATTACTACTTCTTTAGAGAATGATTTACCAAAACTATATGATTTAGTAAAGACAGAAGGACAAGATAGAGAAGATAGTGATAATGGTACTTTAAGAAGAGCAGGAGATGAAATTAAGAGATTAAATGAAGGATTAGGTAATTAAAAGAAATTGAGGTATATATAAAATTTAGAAATAAATTAGAGAGGAATCTGAATCAGCAATATTTGAGATGTTAAAAGATTTGGTTTCAAGAGTAAAAAGTGAAATAGAAGAAGAAAAGAAATTAAGAGAAGAAAGTTAAGAGAATTTATTAGGTTTGTTAGAAGATGCATGCAATAAAATTTATAGAGCTGCAAAAGATTGATATTTATATATATCTTATTAATTATTATTAAATTTGTAATTATTATTAAAGTGAATAAATTATTATTTTATAATATTAATTATATAGGATCAAAATAAAGATTTCCACCATGTTTTAGAAGATTTCTTTTCTTCACCTTTTTTTTCNATCATTATTTCAGCTAATGAATCTTACTTTACCTCATTTAACCAATTAATGAGATGATGGAATGATTTTTTCTTGGTCACATCATAAACTAATAAACATGCAATTGATCTAAATATTAAATTTCTTTTCTTTACCCTCGATAATATGCTCTTGTAATAGACCTAAATGATTCTTAACCTGCCTAACTAATATTAAGAAGTTTACAGTATCCCATATATTAATTCTAATTACACTATCCTTATAAACAATGTCTTTCTATCCAAATCCAATCCCAATAGTTGAATCAATATTATTTTTAAATTAACCTTCAATAAATTATTGGAGTAAACAACTTTTCCCAACCCCAGAATTACCTACTATGATAAATTTAAAACTATAATGGTAATTACACTGTTATTAATTCATAATAATACAAATAAAATTTGTTAATAAAATAAATAAAATGAATCCAAATACACCATTCAACGAACGATTTGCTAAAATCTCTGAAAAACTCAGTTCAATCTAATTGCATCATGATAGTTCTAAGGCTCATCGTATAGATGTTATTTGTGGACGTGTATCTGGTGTAGAGGAAAGAATCCAAGATACAATCACATCATATAACAGAAAACTTGTATAAATTTTATCTCATTTTAGCATTCTCTAAAAGATGAAATTGTGAGATTGTAAAAATAAATTGAGGAAGAAAACAATGCTTTTGAAACTCAATTTGAATAAAGAGTAAGAGAAGTTGCTGCTTTTGAGAGTCGTATAACGACTAAATTAGAATAAGAGATTTCAATTAGAAAGGATGGTAATCTTAAATTGTAAGGCTATTTGGATGAAAAAGTAATAATGTATAATTTATTTAGGTTGTTTATTTAAAATCAGATATTTAGACAGAGAGTAAGATTAGATAGGAATAGATTGAAAATATTACTACTTCTTTAGAGAATGATTTACCAAAACTATATGATTTAGTAAAGACAGAAGGACAAGATAGAGAAGATAGTGATAATGGTACTTTAAGAAGAGCAGGAGATGAAATTAAGAGATTAAATGAAGGATTAGGTAATTAAAAGAAATTGAGGTATATATAAAATTTAGAAATAAATTAGAGAGGAATCTGAATCAGCAATATTTGAGATGTTAAAAGATTTGGTTTCAAGAGTAAAAAGTGAAATAGAAGAAGAAAAGAAATTAAGAGAAGAAAGTTAAGAGAATTTATTAGGTTTGTTAGAAGATGCATGCAATAAAATTTATAGAGCTGCAAAAGATTGATATTTATATATATCTTATTAATTATTATTAAATTTGTAATTATTATTAAAGTGAATAAATTATTATTTTATAATATTAATTATATAGGATCAAAATAAAGATTTCCACCATGTTTTAGAAGATTTCTTTTCTTCACCTTTTTTTTCAAAATTAAAATTGGTATCTTAAGAGAAGTGAACTCTTTTCTTTTTAAATAGTTTGGATTTAGCCAGTCTTTTATTAGGCAAACTTTTAGATGTGTGTGGAAATTGAATTTAATTACGTTATTTAAGTATGCCTTTATGTTTGCTATAATTACTGGTATCTTCTAAATAATAATTACTTATTAATTTTTCATATGCTTTAATCTGATGTGGATTGTTTGTAGAATATTTTAGTGGATCTGTTTTATTAATTGAAGATTATATATTAGATTATTTTTCAGAAGATAATTATAATGAACTAGATTAAAATGATGCAAATTAAGAATCTTTAGATTCTTTTGATGTATTCTTTTTTGGTGATAATTATTATTTTTAATTAAACTAAAATGAATTTTCTTATTATTAATTAGTTTAAGAGTTAGATATTTTTTCTGATTTGAATTATTCGAATTCTAATTGTTACTTAACAATTTCTTTAATGATTAATCTTTATATTTCTTCTTATTCTTGTTGTTTTCTAATTGGTTTTATTATGATAAATACATTTCTTGAATTCTAGCTTTGACTTCGATTTCTAAATCTTCCATAAATCTATTTTATCTATTTGAAACAGTTGATTCATTAATTTATTTCTTAGTTACAAAAATAGGTAACAACTCCACTTCAATATTACTAGAAATTAATTCATTTTTTGGATCTGATTATGTCTATAAAATGTTATCTGAATATTCTAATTCTCGTCTAAAATTAGTAGCTGGTAAAGTTGATGATTCTCCTTAACGAGAACTTGAAGCTGATCTATTTCGATCTTTGTTTCTTAAAATATTTGGCTGTTATTCAAAGTTTAATTCTAGAGTGCTTCCTTCATATCTGAAACCATTTCCACATTTAACTTCACATTTAGATGGACATCCTCCCATGATTATAATTAATTTATATTAATTGAAAAATTGATGATTAATAATTTAATTATAATTATCATAACAACCCTTTAAGTATTGTTGATATACTCTTATCTCTAATTTCTAATACTGCCAAATAACTAGCTCCTGTAGCTGTAATAAATCCTCCTAAAAATGTTATCAAAAATATTTCTGTTGGAAATATGAATTTGAATGAAAATTCAGTGAACATAAGAATTTATAAAGTTAATGTAATTGCAACAACTAAACCAACAATTGTACCAATTAATCCTGATGCTGTAATTAAAGATATTGCTTCATATATGTAAACTCTAGTTATTTAATTCTACTTTTAATATAATAATCTTACTTTATTTAATCCCACTGCTCTCAATACACCAAACTCCCAAGAATTATCCTTTACATTGCTAACAAAGGAAACCAATATAAGGAAGAATGATAGAGTCATGGCTACTATTGCAACTAAAACATAAAATATAGTAATAAAATAAAAGGTATCTTCAGCATCTTTCTTTAATGTAATGACATCAAATAATAATGTTTATTCATTTAAGAAATAATTTCTAAGACCATTACTAAAATCAACCCTCTCTTATTCAGTAGTTTATCTACCAAATTTAATTTGTAAATTATCTTTTGGTAATCCATAAGTTAAATTTTTTGGTAAAGATTAAAAATACAAATTAGCTCTTTCATTTTCAAGATTTCCTTGTCGAATATCACCTCTATAAAATATTTTTATTAAATATTTACTTGAAATAATCATTAATTATATATAGTGCATCTTCCATACTTATTAATCCATTACCAACCATTGATCTATAACTAGAAAAGAAATAACCTGGAACTTTAGTAGCCATATGTCTAACATTAGTTCTGTATAGTCTTCTATCTACATATAAGATAGATGGTGTATCAACATTTATACCAGCTTCATATATGTAACCTTGAGGAACAACAATATTAATTTCTCTATCTATTGTAGTACTATAATATTATTAAGATATCAATACTATTAATTTGGTTTATCATAACTTAAATCTTTATACCATTATTATCTGATACTTTAAGATCCTACTAAAATAAATGGATCATAAAATGCTTCTCTATCTTGAACATCTGATCTATCATAAATACCAGAAACACCATCTTTAACTCCATCAGTCAATATTGTATAATTTACTTTTGAATCATAACTATTTGGAATATAAAAAGCATCTAAACATGCTCTTAAATAATTTTATTCTACTGCTCCTAAAAATATTTTTTTAAATGGAAACTTTGCTAAAGTAGATATAAAGTGACTTTATGGCATTTCAGGTATTTAAGATAACATTAAAGATGTAAATGAGTAATCAAAAATAAGAGATGGATCTTGTGTCATAGTTTTATTAAGAAACTATCTTATATTGTATTCATCCAATCCTCTTTTATCAGATTATAAAGCTTAAACACTAATATCAGCTCCTAAGAATGATTATAATACATCTGTTATAACACTACTTTATAATGCAAATCCTGCACCTGCAAATATTAAAAATGCCAAAGCTATTGTATACATTAATGTGGTTTTCCAATTTCTACTATAATGAGCTTCTAAATTCTTAAATATTATTTTCTCTAAATTTCTATCCTTCTTAAATATACATAATATCAATTTCAAAATTCCTTTTTCAAGTGGTTCTTCAAATAAATTTGCTAATAATGTAAATCCAATAATCATAACAATTAATATAATATTTATGACTGCAAGTGCTAATTATATATTACTGAATATGAATGCCATAGGAATTAAATAATAACTTACAAATCCCATAATAACTAAAAGTGCAGCTGAAAAAAATTAATCAATTGATATTCCCATTTTCTCTAATTTAATAACATTAACTAATATATCATTAATTGTTCTATGATATAAATCTAAAGAATCTCTAAGTGTTTTTGACAAAGCTCTTAAAATTGGCAGGATATTACTTGCCAATGGAATAAATAGACCTAAACCAAATGATAATCCTATTGCTGATTTTGCTATGTCATATGATGACATCAAAACAGCAGAATCAAATATAAACATAGCAATTAAGGAATTCAGAATATAACATGTAATCAATCCCAAAAGTAAGCCAGGTATTGCAAAAGTAAATGCTTACAATAATAATAGTATTATTAACCACCATTTTTAAAATCCTAAAGCTCTCAACATTCCAAATTCATATGTTTTTTCTTCCACATCTCCAATCATTAATGAATATATTAATAGTATTGATAACATCAATAATAGAAATGTTGCTGAAACTACTAAATTATCTACAAAATTTCCTAATAATAAATATTATTTAATTGCTGTAGCTAATGGAACAGTAATTTTAACAGGATAATCATATCCTACTTCATCAAAAAATGAATTTGAGACATCCAAAACAAAATTATTTATATTATCTTAATTAGTATATTTGGAAACTCTATCTTTAACAACTAAATTACTAGTTAATGAAAACTCTTCTAATTTAATACCATCTGTGTAATTTCTAATATAATCAAATAAATCTTAAGCAGGAATATTAGCAGCAACAATTTCTTCAATACTATTTGTTGAACTATTTTATTTATAATCTTCTATTGTATTATTTAATGTTATTATAAATGCTTCTCTTAAAATTATAGTTGCATTTCTATAGTCCATTACTACTATATTACCTAATCCATCTGCCCACTTACCTTTGGATGACTTTATACTTTCCTTTACTTTCAATTCAATGTCAAAATCTAATGAATCAGCTATGATATTAGCTATTACCTATTCAACTATATAAATAGAAACAACATCATTATCTCCTAATTATTAAACAAAATTAGCTAAAAGTCTTGAAAAATAACCTAATTCTTATGAAAAGAAAATATCAAAAGCAGTATTTGCAAGATCTTTTTAATCATTTGAAATACCACCTTAGTTAATTTAATTTTAAAAGTTTTCCTTAATTTCTTATTTCAATTCTGGATTGTTATCTAATATATCTGTAAATACAATAAATTCACTAGATAATTCCTTTAATTCATAACCAGTATATTCTCTCTTTGTGAAATTTTTACCATAAATTAACTCTAATGGACCATTTAAATATGTGTCAAATGCTGCCATAATAAAAGTTGTTGGATCATTATTATTATTTTCAGTAATTACATATGTTGATAGAAATTAGATAACATCAATATTCAAATTTAAAATATCTCCTATAGTAGCATTCAATCCTCTTAATCCACTTGATGTAATAAGTACTTCATTATTATTAATTATATTAGTATCTAATCTTCTTCCTAATCCTATACTTATTTCTTTTTCACTATCAATTAATAAAAAGAAAGATCGAATTTTATCACTTATTTTAGTTATATTTTATTTTGGGTTTTCCAAATTTCCTATCATTAACCATCTTGGTGTAGAATCAAATATTTCTCTAATGCCTTTTGTTATTTTAACTACATCAGTCTAATTCACTAAACTAAATCCATTCACTAAATTCTATGATGCCTAAAAGTTTGAATTCTATGGTCCAATATCAGTATTTGATTTTGTCTTATTCTCTGAAGGTACTGGAGTGAATACTAAATCAGTATCACCAGCAGTAGTTTCAGCTAATTGTATGAATATAAGAGGACTGAGAGAAAACGCGCTCTATATCAATGCTAAAAACATAACCACTAAGTATATTGTAAATAACCCAATCTTGAATGATCTTGGTTTCTTTTAAATATCTGAATAAATATATTCTACAACGATCCTTATAGTTACTGTGATCTTTTGCCATAATCCTAATTACTAATAGGCATTAATATTTTCTTCATCATGAGTATCATCCATTATAAGTAATTTATTATAAATTAAAATTAATAAAACCTTCTCATTCATATCTATATATTCAGAGTTTATCAATTATTTATCGTTTTTAATTTGTTATAAAGAAAAGATACTAAAAAGAATAATTTTTGTTAAGAATTCTTAAATTTTGTAAGAATACTATAAAATTTAGTTACTAATAAATTAAATATTTAGTATTTCATATATAATAGAATATTGTGATTTAAGCCTTATCTAAAATTTAAAAAACATTTCTTAAATACTCTCAATAATTCTTTGAATACTTAAATGTTAAAAGTATGGGCCATAATAAGAAAGTTTATAGGATGATTATAATATAATATGTATTTTCATAATAATTATAATTCTTCCATTAAATTATTAATATTTCCATTTCTTAGATTCTTAGCCATTAATTCAATGTATTAGTTCATAAATATATCCTTTATATATATTGATATAATTTACTTAAGTTTTAACATCAGGAATAATACTTCTGATAAATTTGAGACAACTTTAAATCTTTGGAGGTAATTAAAATTTTGCAAATTCTAATCCTTAAGCTGCACACATCAATTCAATAGCAATTATATATTCTGCATTTTAAACTATTTATAATCCTTTTCTAGCACTATATGCTCCCATAGAAACATGATCTTCTATATTTGCAGATGTTGGAACTGTATCAATACAACTTGGATGACTTAGTACTTTATTTTCAGAAACTAAAGCAGCACTAGTATATTGTGGAATCATATATCCATTCAATAATCCTCCTTTTGATGTTAAAAACATAGGCAATCCACAATCCCCTATTTCTGAGTTTACTAATCTTTCTTGTCTTCTCTAATATTATAATCAATATAATATTATTACTTCACTAAATATACAAAGTCTTTGTAATGCTATACATATATTATCTGCCAACATTCCCATATATTCTCCATGAAAATTACCACCTGATTTTGCAGTTTGTTGTTCATTATCAATAATTGGATTGTCACTTGTTGAATTAATCTCTCTTTCTAAAATTCTTAAATTTTCTTATATTGATTATCTAACAATTTAATGTATAGTAAATGCAGTTTATATACTTTTAGGATTAGTTTTAATTTAATCTGTCCATTATTCTCCAATTAAACTAAATACTATATTTTTTGATTTATTATCACTTTTAGAATAATTTTTTAAGAAATGATAATTAGCTAATTAATTATAAATATATAATTATTACTTTATAAAGCATAACTTGTTAATCCTAAAGCTAGATCTGCAGCATTCATAACATATTATGATCTCATTAAAGTTTCTAAATTTATTGCAGCCATCATTTAAGTTCCATTATTCATAGCCAATCCTTCCTTCTCCATATATTCTAGAGGTTAAAAATCATGTATTTTTAAAGCCTATTCTGCAGCTATATATTATCCATCATTCCATATCTCACCAATCCCCATTAGACCTAATGCTAGATGTGATAAAGGTGCCAAATCTCCTGATGCTCCTACTGAACCTTAACATGGTACTTTAGGAATTAATTTCTTATTTATTGCTTATTGTAAAGATTCTATAAGAGACATTCTTACACCAGAAAATCCTCTGATAAGACAATTTAATCTCAAAATCATCATTACCAAAACAATGTTTGGTTTTAATGGTTCACCTACACATGAAGCATGAGATATAATTAAGTTCTTTTATAATTCTACCATTTCTTATTGAGGAATATAAATCTGATTAATATAATGTTATAATTTACTTCTTTGAATTTACCAAACCCTGTGCTAATCCCATAAACTGGTATTTTCTTGTGAACAATTAGATCCACTGTATTTCTGGATTGAAGTATTTGCTAAATAATCACTAAAATAAATACGTTCTTAATATGATCTTAAATTTCAATTACAATATCTAAATTTCCTTATAAAACATCCTTTAAATCATCAATTGATAAGTTTGCTCCATCCTAATAATAGAAATATTGAATACAAGCGTTAACACTTTTTTCATTTAAGATTTATTTATAATAAATTAAATGATAAATGTTTCATCTACTTTTAGAAGTCCAAAAAAGAATAAATAAGACATAAATGAATTGTTAACAATCATTGATGTGTTTAAAAAAAACTAGAAAATATATTTATCTTAAAATCCCAAACTTATTTCAAATATTCAATATGATGAACCTTCATAACTTGTCTCAATTAATGAAACCTTACCATATAAAAGTAAAAATAAGAAGAGTCGTTCCACAGAATAGATCAATTTAAAATTGATATTAGAAACATGGTAAGCTAAATAAATATATATCAAAGATAATATTGTTTCATAAAATATTTCAAGAAATATTATTAATGATCCTGATAACTTGTAATCTTTTAAATATTATTATGGCAAAAAATAATAATTAGCTATCACTAAATCATAATAAAATTAATAATTTCATTCTTAAAGAACCAATAGCATTACTAAAAATAATCAAACATAAATTAAATTACCTCCATTAAAATCTATAAATAAATTACTAGCAACTGAATCTGATAATAAACCAAAAAGTACTTTAGGTTCCATAACTAAGAAAATGTTTTCTTCAGACAAAGCCTTATCCCAAGATGTTTATATGCCTACTGCAACAAGTATATTATTTATATTTATTTATTTAGAGGTTCCTCCAATAATTCTGCCTAAAATAGTTTTGAATAAAACTTAAGAATGATTATAGAAAAAAGAATTTAAAAAACATAATTATTATATTTTATGAGTTTTTTATTGCCTATTGTTTCTGTAATTGGATTTCTTGCTTCAATAGTCGCATTTAGTATAAGCGTAGAGTACAATGATTAACATATCATTTGAGTTTAAAAATTTAATTGGGATCAATGTCTTTAGACATTAGTAGAATAGCATTTTTCAGAACTAGAGAAATCTATGCATCCTAAATTCCATATTTAGAAGTAAATATCTGAGTTAAAATTCTTAGGCAGTTTCCTTTTGTATATTTTTATTTATAGCCATTATAAGAACTGTTGAATATTTTAAGATGTAATTTGAATTAAAGAATAAATTAGTGATTTTAAGATGGTTTTGAGTATGAATGATGGTGAACCTGAAATTTATTATTTAACTAGAGCTAAATTATAATAATCATTAGAATGGAGTAATATTGCAGTGACTTAAGCATTTATAATCTTAACTTTAGTATGAATTATAATAAATTAGGCATTAGCTTTATCAATTGGAATAGTATTTTGTTCAAATGGTCACTTTTATGCATAAGAATTGATTAAAAAATTCATTAATATAGAAAAGTTATCAGATTCAGATAAGTAAATTATATATTTTTTAATTGTAGAAATACTTTATCAGAACTTGATACTTAATCTATTAAATTTATTGTCATTATTGTACTTAATGCATTAGCCTTAGCTTGTGTATTTTTCCAATTTTTAATAATAATAATTAAAAAGTTGAGATTATGAATTGATCTTCATTAATTAATCAAATTATTATTATTTTTTAAATAGTAATGAAATTTAATAGGAATATTAGAATTTTCAATTTAATTTGTTTATTCATATTTTAAAATCAAATACTTTCGATATTTATATGAAAATATTAGTTTCTATGATAAATAATATAATTTGAAGTAGTAATTAATAAATATTATAAACTAAAATTGAAATAATGTCAACAAGTGGTGAGTATCCGCCTGTTAGATAATGTTTCAATTAATACTGCCCCAGTTTTTGTGATTTAAAAGTAGCTAAATTTTCAGATTCAACAATCCTATTATGCAGTACTTGTTATGAACTTTACAAAAGAAGAAATTGTTGTTATTTTTGTGCTTAAGTTTATAAGGATGATGAATAAAATTTCCTTGATGGCAAAAAATGGGTTTAATGTGATAATCAACGATGTGGAAAATGGGTATAATAATTATTAAGATTAATATAGACACACATTGATTGTGAAGTATCAGACATTGAATCGTAATTGTAACATAAAAGTTTCAAATATAAATGTCCTTGGTGTAGGATAGAGAAAGATAAAAAGAAAAAGTAATCACAGCTCACAAAATCATTAATAAATTAAGATTAAGGAGATTAATCTGATCAAGATCCTGAATATATACATTCTTTAATAAAAAAAACATAATTAGAAGAATCTAGTATATAATAAATTTATGAGCCTTGGTTGAAAAAAAATACATTCTTAGAAGAATTGTTAAAAAAAAATGGTTTTTAATTGTATAATAATTAGGAGAGTTTACTTAGTGCATAAATTAAGAGGAACTGTAAAGCGACTTAATTAAAATGAGGAATTTACTAAAAAAATGATTTAAATTTATATAATATTATATATTTTTGGGCAATTTAGTATTCTCTTTTCTTTTTTGATATAATATAATATATTATTCAAATAGATATATATAAATATACAATAATTTTAATATTTTAGAACATATTTATGTATATCAATTTAAATTGTTAAAATAATAAATTAAACATAATATTTTATAAAGAAAAATAATAGCATTCTAAGTTCACATATACATAAAAAACTTCATAATTTTAATAAATCATTCTTCACCATTTTTTAAAGAAACCTGCCATCTTACTTTTAATTCCATTATCTTCTTGAGGAAATTATTACCCTGTTAGTTATTTCTTAATTACAAATCCACCATTTTTGTTTTTTTAACCATCATCTTATGAATTACCTTATTTTCCTTCAACTTCATTTATTTATTTAGTCAAATATTATTTCAGTTCAGCCAAACTTATTATTAATTCTTAATGATTTTAACTATTTAATTAGAACATCAAAATACCTTTCATTACTTTTTTTAATCACATTAAAGGCTTCTTCTATAGTTGTGCAAATGTCTTACACTGCTTTTATTGATAATTTTATTTGCTTTTATTTATCTTCACTCTCCTATACTGATTCTTTCTATTAAACATTCTCTTCTACACTAAATTATGATTTTTATGCCTTTGTATTTGTTTACATAATTTTGTCATCAAAAAATACTGTTTATTACTCTTATTATTTTATTGGTTATTTTTCAACTATTTATGATTAAGGTGATTATGATTGTTCTTCTTCATTTTGATTTACTACTTATTATTAAATAGATTGTTGTTTTATTTAAGATTATTAAGGTTATTCATTACTTTTAATTTTATCTTATTAAACTTTAGAATCTGTATCTTATTTTTCAGGAACAAAAAATGCAGGACTAATTAATTTTTCTATCTTTTCTGCTCCCTCAACATTATCATCTAAATTATTGGAAGACTTTTAAGAAATCAATATATTTCTTATTTAAGTTGCTGTATCTAATAAACTAGAAAGATTTGATATTTTTGGGAATTTTAAGAATCTTTGATAACATTAACTTGATTCTTCATTCTCCATTACTAAAAATTTTAATTTATAAGATATTACATTGATTTTTTAAGTAAATTATCATAGCCATAGCTATACAATCTACAAAGAATAATGTATCACATTATTATATAAAGAAATCCTAAAATATTGCATCCCAAGCATGAAATGATTCTATTAATGATAATTCTCTTGTAAACATACATCTATGAAATGAATAATAAACTATACCTTATCCATTTTAATAGAAAAATTTAAAATTCAACTTAAAGAAGTTTTAAATGTCTAAATAATTGTAAATCAACTTATTTTAATAGAATATCTTATAATTTAGCAACTCTTGTTAAAATTGCACTTGGTTTCTTACTTTACAGTTTAATTTTTTGTTATTCTGTGTAATTAGGTCTAAACATTTCCATATGTTATGCATCATTCATTAAAGCAGTAAATAATGCATAAATATCAGGTTCAGCATATTCCCAAGAATTAAATAACAAAAGAATATTTATTTCTTCTTCAGTTGCCTAATAATTTTAATATTTGTTTACTTCTTCATATTTTTCTACTTCTTCTTTGTATAATGCTTCTATAGTATATATATATATTAATGAAGCAGCAATTTCATTCATTCCTTGTCTATATGATATTTCACTATTTTCTTTACACCAAAGAAATAATACTGTTGTAAGTATTTATTATATTCTTTTTGAAGAGAAGAATTCAAATTCTTGATAAGTTCTTTCAACATCTTTTCTGATTTCATTTCTTAATTCTACATTATCAATTGCATTAGACTATTATTATTTTTATTTGCCACCACCTAAGGGACCTCCAAGTGGACCTCCTAATGGTCCTTTTTTAGTTGAATCTTCAGTTTTATTTTGAGTTTAAGGATTCTAATTTTTCAAATGTTTATTTTCTAATTCTTTATAATTTTCTCTAAGTTTCGTTAGCTTTTCTATTTTTTATGAAAATGAATCCTCTTTTGAATATATTCTAATTTTAAATAATTGATTACCTTAAAAATAGTCTCCAGATATTGAATCTTTGACCTGTATTATCTAATTGACAATCCTTAATTAATTAATCAACATCAGCAAAATCATTGTTTATCATATATTTACTAAAATTTCCAGCATTAAAATTGTGACCTCTTTAATAATAAGTATATGATTATACATCAAGTTTTTTAAATCTTTAATACTCTCCATCAATTAATTGATTTAATATCTAAAATTATTTCAATATAACACTAACATAATAAAAAATAATGCCATAGAATAACATAATGATGTGATGAGAGCCAGTATATTGAAAAATAAATATTTAAAAATTTATGAAATCCCAATATGAAAAACTATTTCCAAATTTTAAGCCTCCTTCTAAATTGGATTCAGATATTATCTAAAAAGCAAAATTATATATAGAATAAAGATAAAAAAGAATGTGTTTCACTCCAAGAAAAATCTGTAATCAATAGAAGTGTACATTATTAAGTCCAAAATAAAATATAAACATACCTTCTATAATAACAGTCTCATTATCAAATCAGTTATAATATTAAAAACCTTAGAAAAGCTATGAAAAAAATAAAGTATCCATTGCTCATTCAAGAAAGAGTGTACCAAAACTTAATATAGAAACTATGAACTTTAGAAAAGCTAAAATGGTTTTTCAATAGAGATTGGAATTAAGAAGTTAAAATAATTCAAAAAATGATGTTTCTTTCTTTTCTCCTTGGTCAAATAGATGATTGTATGATAAATTAAATAATTTTAATAACAAATATAAAATAATCATTGAATAATTTTTTCTTTTAATTGATGCACATGAACTTACTCTTAATTTTGATCATAACAAAATTTACAAATATGAAAATCTTCACAAAATTAACATACATATATTTTTGTTATTTCATCTTAATACTATATTTTATCAGAACAATAATCACAAAAAATATTTTTGCTATCAATTATTATATCATCATCTTCATCCTTATTATCTATAATATCCTCATCATCATATGGCATTTAAATATCACCATATTACTTTTTAATACTTTATTTCATATCCATATTAAAAAATGATTAAGGATCTTATGATGGAATATTATTAAAATCTTATTCAATTCTCATTTTTGTTAACTCTTCATTTTATTAAAATAATAATTTTGTTTAATCTAGATTTTAATTACTAATATTCTTAGATGAATCTTATATTTCTTGAATTGATTATAAATTTATTTGCTAAGAATGTCTCTCTCTTTAAATCTCTTAACTCTTTGTTTATTCAGTTAGTTATTAACCAAATGTAAATTATGTCTCTCCAAAATATTATCTAGTACAAGAATACTTTTAAGAAGGACTAGGCATTTTAGAATGAATTTGAGATTATGATTACAATTATGTAATTTAAACATTTTGATTTGACTATGGAATCTCTTGAACATATAATTTAAATGATTGATTATTATTAGCTTGATTTTGAACCCATAATTGATGAAAGTAAACTAAATCTTATTTTTTAGATATTGTAATTAAATCATCTTCTTAATCCTTCCATTTTAACAAAAAAAGTCTTGGTGTCAATGTTTTGATGTATTCATTTATTTCTCTTAAATCTATATTTCCTCTATACAAATAGGTGTATTCTCCCAAGAATATTTTTACTTTCATAAATACTATTAGTAATATATTTGTTTGTTTTATCTTATTATGAAAATAATAATTGATTTTTTCAATATCTAATAATATTGGCAATTCCTATTTAAATATTATATTTAAAATGCTTTATATGATTATAATGATATAAAATTACTTTAACTTAAAATATATAAAGAATAGTATGAAATAAGAAAATTAATATGGATTTCAATAGATTAGACAAAGTTAAACAATAAGTGAGTTAATTTATAATATAATATTTTAATAATTATCAAAATGTCATTTTGGAGGATGCTATTATGCCTATTTTTACATTTCATGTGTTGCTGAATCAAATTAAGTTCTCTAATAATAATTTATTAAAAAGAAATACTTCTTAAGTTTTCTTCACTAAAGCTCCTTTCTTTTTAGGCCCATCTTTATATTTTTCTGCCATTAATCTAGCCTATTTTTCCATTTCATCTTCATTGTCCTATTTTATTATTCAACTTTATACCATTATTCTTCTCTAAAAAAATTAATAAATATATAAATAATATAAATATCAATCCCTAAAAACTATCTTTTATAAATAATCAATTTAATTTTCAATTGTTAAAATAATAATAAATATATATAATCAATTTTAATAATTAAATGCTCTCTTTGGAATATCATAATTATAATCCATAATTATTTACTAATTATCATTACAAATAAGAGGATTTAATTTTTGAGTTGAAAATATTCTTGGTGATACTGGTGACAATTTATTTACTTATTAAATATTTTATTGATTTTATTAGATTCTTGATTATTATTATTATTATTCATCAATTATTGATTATTAATTGTTATTAACCATTTCATTTTTTTAATTTATATTATTTACATTTTATTATTAAATCTAATGAATATTTTAATGTTGTTAAACTCCAGATACTTTCTAAATTTGATTTTATTATAATTTTATAATATCAATATTTTTTGATATTTTATTATCTGTTTAATACCAAGGTGCTTAATTATAGAATGAATGAAGATCCTCTTTCATTTTATTATCTCTTTCAATTTTAACAAAGTTTGTATATAAACCTTTTGTATTTGCACCCATTGCATATTATAGTTATTTAGATATATTTATTTCCCTCATTTTCTCAACATTCTCCACTAATGCTTATTATTAGATTAATTCTATTTAACTTTTATTTTCTCTTGGTGTATTATTTCTACTATTTATTTTTTAATTATTAATAGATAATTCAGAATTCTAAATTCTTAATATTTAAGATTTTAATGATCTAGAATCAATCAAATTATTCTAACATAAAGAATGTTGTAATTCATCCCATTCTTTTTTTGTTCCATATACAATCTAAATATTAATATAATTTTTACATTATCTTGATAAATTGCATCATTTTAATTGTTATTATTAATTGTTATTTTACTTTACTTTTTCAAAGTCTCATTAACATAAGGACTACTACTATTATATGTAGATAATAAAGGAGTTGATCTATAATTTTGAGAATTATTTCTTATTTTCTCTGGAATTCGAGAAATAGATAATTATTATGAATTTTATCCATTAACTTCTGCTCCTAAGATTCTAGAATATTAATGTTATGGTTAAGTCTTTTCATCTTCTTGTTTTGGTATTTTGAAATAAGGACATTAAACTGTTGCAATAAGTCTATAACCTTCAAAATTCAAAGTTTCAGATACTGATGCATTTTTAGATAAAATATTTGCTCTTCTAATTAAAGATTTAAAGTGAAATGGTTTAAATGGGATTTATGCTTTATTCATCAATTATTCTATAAAACGATATTCAATCTCACCATTTCCTTATGAATCAAAAATATTAAACATTGTAACATGATTATATGAACAATCAGTATTTAATACTAATCTAATTTATTCAGATTTTTCAATTAATATTATCTCATTTTAAAATAGATTTATAAATAACTTTAAAATACTATTATCTACATGTTATCTTTAATTAGTTTCATAAATTAATTTCCTTTTTTATGCCTTTTAACTTGCTTAAGGTATTGATTTTGAAAGTAACATTTTTTGAAATGTTGCATAATTAAATCCATCTCCAGAATTCACTTTTTCAATACTTTCTTTTTATTGTAATGGTACTTTAGATGTACCTTAAATTTAATTTAATGGAATTTAAGAAATTGGAATTACATCCTAAGGTAATGGATATTCATTATTAAATGTGTCTAAAACATTATCCTTTTAAAAACCAAATTAATTTATATGAAATATTCTCTCTATTGCCCTAAGACTATCTACACTAGGAGATACTTAATTATTATCCTTCATAAATTCTATGATATTTTCAAATTTTATTATCCCATCCTTTGCACTATTTATTATATTTATTACTAATGGAGCTTATATTTAGAGATCCTATTTATGTTTTCATAAATACAGTAAAATTAAAAAATTATTATTTTTCTTGCATTTGTTCTGGTTTTATTGGTTAAAGGTATTATTTTAAATATTAAAATAAGGCTTCAGGATAAAAGTGAGAATTCTCTGATAATTCAAGTCCTTTCTTTAATATTATGTATTACTAATATTTTCTATATCCATTTCCAACTATCCAATTATAGAGAATAATTGCAACACTTTAATGATGTTTTTATCAAGATTTGTAATTTGGCTTTCAGCTAATTATATTTATGATTAGTGATGCTTAGCATAAGGAATTTAAATCATGAATAAATTTATTTGTTATTATTAAATTTAAAGATAAAATTTATTTATTTTCTTTTATTTATAGAACTATAACTTTAAGTTAAAAAAATTATATGATTTTGTAATAGACAATTATAATGTAGTCTATGATTCTTATTAATAGAAGATAATGAAAGAAAGAGATTGCACTTTAATATAATTAAAAATATAAATTTAAAAATTTTCAATTATTGTTGATGGCTGCATCAATAAAGTAATTCCATTCTATTGCATTATATCTTTATAATTCAATAGACATTTATCGAATTTTTTACATAATATTATCTAATTTGAAATTTTATAGTGCAATTTGTTCTTTCTCATTTAAAGGTATTCCTAATAATTATTTTTCTAAAATATTATAATATTCATATTATTTCGTATGCAAATTTCTCCATTCTAAAAATTCATTTTTTAATTAAGCATATTATTAATATAATTTCGAAGTTTCCTCTTTTAATTTTGGTAAAAAATAAGTACAAATGTTTCTATCCTCATTTTCTAAGTATTTTAAAGCAATCAAACAAGGTATGGTTACAAAGATATCAGAATCTCTGCATTCTAATTATTCTTAAAATTATTAATATTTCTCTGCAGTAGTTTCAATTATATGTGAAAAGTACATTAATTATTAGCACTTTGTAGGATCTAATAAATAATATAGTCCTTTTTCCCATTATGATTCATATTCAACTAATAAATCAACAAGTTCTTAATTGTTTTTCAATTAAGGATCTACCATTTCTATATTTCCTTCATATTTTCTCATTTATTCTCGAAACTTCTAGAAACTAATTTTAATTTAAAAAATACTTTGCTTTTATACTATCAGCTAAATTACGAACAGCACTAGATTACTCTTTTGTAACTCTTCTTGTAATTCCTTCTGCTTCCAAAAGTATATTAATACCTAAGTCATCCCTTCCTTTACCTTCAACATTTGCAACTGTATTGATTTAAGCAATAACTTTACAGAACTTATAGTTTTAAATTAAATTAATACTTGTTCTTTTTTTTAAATATAGTTTTCACTTGTAACAAGTATTTTGCCTCTTAATTTTTCTCTAATTTCTATAGATGTCATCTCTTTATCAATTTCAATTGCTAAAAGAATAAATCTTCTGGCTTTTGCTTCAATATCCATCAATTCTTTAACATAAAGCTAAAAAATTATGTTTTAAACATTACTTTTTCAAAATCAACCCAAATCTAATCAAAATCTTCTAATATCCTTATAATATCTTATTTTAATAGTTTTGATGAGAATTCAGGACTTTCTTTGAGTGTTCTAGAAAATGAGAGTCTAATAACATGTTAAACTTTATAAAATAGTTCTATTAATTTAGATCCTTTAGATAACACATCAGGTGAAAATACAAATTTCTCAGAATTGACCCATAAGTAAGGAAAACCTATTAATGAATTTTTAAAAAAAAACCTTCTTATGCACTATCTAATATTTCAGGAAGATAACATAATCTATCTTCTTTATATAAAATCTTATAAGCCTTTGAAAATGTATTTCTATAATCTCTTGATAAAGTTTTCACTTGATAAATCTAGAAAGAATATTAAAGTAAACAAATACTATACACATTTCCTCTAATGTTTTTAAGTATTTTTTACAACTTCGCTAACCTTCAGGGTTATCTAGATCATATTTATGAAAATCTCTTTAAATTAATTAATTTTAGTAATGTTAAGCTTTTTCTAAAATATAAAATTCGCGTTATCTATAATATGATTGGATCAAAAACCTTTTGAATTCTTCAAGTTCTGTAATTGGACTTGGAGGAGCTGTTTATGGTCTATAATTGATTCCTTCAACTGAAGTATTATCAGAAACTAAGATTGTATTTTTATTAAATTTACATTCTTCATCAGTGTCTTTATCTTAGTAAGGTTACATAAATTTTTTATAAAAATATTTATAACCAAAACAAAAAATTCAAGCAATGATCAAATTAATCAATAGAATATAAAGGTTTATGTAATAAATTAAAAACTGAAATCAACAAAACAAATATATTTCATTTTCTCATCTATTAAGGATAACTTTCTTTAACAATAATTTATGTAATTTGTTAACTTATTCATTATAATCCTGTAAAACAAAACCACCAAACATATAAGATGATAAATTAGCTTTTCTTCTTATTCTTATTTGATCATCAACACTATAATTTTAACTAAATGAATTATCTGAATCTAATTTTTATCTAATTCTTCTATTATGTTGGATTTTTTATTCTTTAATAATTTATTTCTTAGTCCATGTCATTTCTCTATCTAAATCACTTCTTTAAGTAGGATTAGTTTATTGTAAGCATTATTTTTAATATTTTTATAATTCAGGTAAAGCAATTCCTAATCTTCCACTATTATCATTATAATATTGTTAATTTTAGTATTTCTAAGTTATCATTTTTGAATTATTTATGTTGGAAGAGTCATACTCACTATATGATTATTTTGTTCTATACATTTTAATGTTATTTCTAATTTTTATATAATAATATGTCTAATGAAAACTATTTAAAAGAATCTACAAAGTTAATAAGAAAGGTAAGATGTTGTTTATTATTTATAGGGTTGTCCTAGAAAGAATTTATAATTGTTAGAAAAAGTAAAATATAACAATCTTATTGTGAATAAATCATAAGAAATGGAAATTTTGAGAAGATAAGTTTATTCTTTAAACCAAATTTTAGAGAGTTATCTAAACAGAAATGTGTCTTTCTATAAAAAAACTGCTCTTATTGTTATTAGTAAAGCAAAGTTATTCTTTTAATAATGGTATGAGTTGATAAGATCACAATTTAAATATAAAAAGCCAAGTAATTTATGTAATTATTGTATCCCCAGATATTAAAATGATACAATTTTATTTATATGAATTGCTCAAATATACTTAGAATATGAGTATTAAATTTCATAGAGAAGAATCATATCATATAGCATATTATTATTGTAATGCTTCAAAATAAGTTTTAGAATAACTTAATGGATTTAAGTTTAAAGTAATAAATTATTTTCATTTTTTATATTATTAGATTTGGTAACATTCAACTAGAGATGTTTGGACTGATTTAATTGTTGGGAATATGTTATTATAGAATTAGAAGTAATATTATAAATTTAAAAATAAAGTTATGAATTAGCAAGCATTGAATTTGAAGATAGTTTAGTTAGAATTCAAAAAAATATAAGTTCAATTATAAGTTATAAGATTGAAAAAAGTTTACCAAAATAAGAAGTCAAAAAGTATGCTATAATATAAGTAATAAAGTTAACAATGAATTTAGATGATTATGCTATTTCATATATTTTTTTTACTTTGCATATCTTATCTATATTCTGATAATTTATCAAAGTATTAAGAACTATTAAAATTACTGTATTACTTAAACAAACATAATTAATTTAATGGAGAATAATCTAAATTATTAAAAGACTTAATCAAATAGCATAACCTCAAATTATAAATATATTTGTAAGAACAAGGAGAGATATAAAAAATTATGTCACTTATGTATGATGTTCCAGAAACAAAAGCAGAAGAAAAACCTAATTATATAGATGAGCACTTCTATAAAAAATATCAAATTAAAGAATTGAATGATCAAGCATTTTTTAGAACTAAATATTAATTTACTTATACTAATAAGAGATGTTCTATTATTTTAAAAGGAAAAGATAAAAGATTAAATAGTCCAACTATGTAATAAACTTAACCAATATCATAATATTATGATACAACCATTCATCCTAATTTAAAATAATCTTAAAATTTATCTTTATCTCCTAAATCTAATTTTAAATAATAATCATTTTAAAAAAAGAACATTAAAAAAGAAAGCTTTTCTTATATCAAATCAGATAGAGAATCAATGAAGTATTTGGATACACAAATATTAGGTTCTTTAAGGAAAGAGTCTTTTTATTCATATAATGAACTTAGTAAGGATATGGAAACAAATATTTCAATCAATAGTGATGAGTAGAAGTAATTAAAAACTGAAAGATCTATATTAAGATCTAAAAGTTCTAGAGAACATAAACAAGAAATAAATTAATAAACAAAGATGGCAATATTTAATCTAATAGAAGCAAAATCCTTATATTATATGGAAGTTTAAAAAGCTAATTCAAAATTAAAGAATATAAAATCATTAAAAGATCAATAATAAAAAAAGATGATATCAGATAAATTAATATCAGATATGAAATATATCTAAAAGTAACCATCCATGTTAATGAGTACAGATTAATTAGAAGAAAAAGACAGCAAATAGATATATAATGATGTATTTAATGTAATTAAATATCTTATTGAAATAGGATCTGAAAAAATTAGCAGATAATTATGTTAGTAAATTATCAATGTATGAAAAATCATAAACACGCTTAAGAATATATACATAATAACAATAAGGAATGAATTAATAATCAAATGGAAACACTGCTATTTCAAAATGTAAGGAACTATCTAAATCAATATAATAATAAAAAGAATTCTTTTGATTTGTTATATTTTATATATACATCTTCTTAAAATTAAAGAATTTCTTTATTTACATAGTCTATTTAATATTAAAATATAAGATTATAAGCTTAAATTGAATTGATGGAATACTTACATTGTTTTATCCAAAAAATTAATGTTTGAATGTTCTTTGAATTTTGTAGAATTATAAATTTATATAATAATAAGATACTTTTTTATATTAGAAATACTGCGAAAATTTTTATTAAATCATTTAGAATATTAAATTTTATATTATTTATTTTATATGATATCTCATTTTATGTTTCAATTAAAGAGGATAAATGAAAGACCTTTTTAATAGAGAGTGTATCTATTAAGTTTTCCCATTTTGACTTTAAGGGAGAATACAAGATTCTTCCTTGTTTTGTTTAAGTAAACAGGTAAAACAATTTCATCATCTCCTATAATTCCTTTTTGTGGAGTTTTACACCACTTTAAGATTATGGGTTTTAATGGAACTGAGATTTCATTAACTAAACGTACTTATAAAGTCTTGGAATCTAAATGTCCTCCTTCCATTGATACTCCTTCAATTACAAAAGAATCATCATCAATTCCTTGATCTTCTGGAACAATTTGAAGTTCTAATTCTTCTAATGACCATTTATTAGCTTAAGCCACATATTATCTAGTGGCTGTAAGATATGCTTCGGGGAATAGTAGTCCACCAAACCATACATGTCCTTTTTAGAAGTCCTTAGTTTTTCCTAATAAATCAAATTGATCAATTCTTCTCTTAAAATCACCAATCCAATCATTCAAAGGCATAGGAATTACATTATATTTATTCCATTATGGTGGTATAATATTGTTGAAAACATCTTTAGCTAATTACCTAATAACATTAGTGGCCAATATCTTTCCTTAAGCTAATTAAATTAATTCCTCAATATTCTGTCTTACAGTTTTTAATAATTTAGAAGCCACAGTTATTTCTCTATCTAAAAATCTAAACAAAGGATCATTAATAGAATCAGCTGTTCTTTCTAAAGGTGAGATTTTAGTAGGAAGTATAGCTTTGAATTTTTCAACTTTTTCTAATAGATCTTATAACCATTAAACTTGATCAGATTTTTTGTTATCTTTCTTTTAAGTTTTTTCAGTTTAAACTTCAATCTAAGTGATTTCTTCTTCACCTTCTTATTGGAGATTCTATACTTTAATTATCAACTTTTGAGTTAATTAATCTCTTTATACTCTTTCTACATTAGAAGGTAAACCAGACCATTCTGGACTTTCAGTTTTAGGTAATTATTCAATCCATTACATAAAATCTAAATAAGTTCTACCTTCTGGAACTGTGATGGCTTCTTTACCTTCTAAAGTGAAAAATAGTGGATGATTATGATTGAAACTTTATTCAGTAAAGAATTATTCAACTAATGATTAAAGAATCTTTTAATCATATTCATTATCTACTTTACCACCATATAAATTTTATGTTAATATAGTTCTAAATGCATCCCATGGTAATTTAGATGGATCTATATTTTATCTGATACCTAAAGCATCAACATATTCATCTATAAGATCTAATGAACATCTTTAATCAGCTTCATTAAATTCATATGTTTTACTCCAACCAATAGGAGTAAATCTCAATCTCTCTAAAATAACTGCATGTAACCAAGCTAATAAAAAGTGTAATCTTGCTCTTTCAACAGGTTATCTATCTGTTCTTTATTATGATAAAACAGTTTTGAATGTTCTAATCAATGATGCTTTGATACCATCAGGAGGTTCAAATACTAATTTATATGATTATCTAATTAAAGTAGTTGGTATCTTTGGATTGAATTCCATAGTTAAGAATATTCTGAAATTAGCATTTGGAGTTAATCTAAATAATTTCTTTTCTAAATCATTAAGCCAACTTGTAGCTAAATGTACATTCTTCAACATTACCCAAGATCCAGATTTAACACTTTAAGTAATTGCCTATTCAGCTTAATCAAAACCTTCTGCACTACCTATAGCAACACTTGTTAATTTAATTCCTATTTCTCTACTTAATTATTCAACTTTAAATGATGGATCAAATCCTGGTGCTGAACATAAAAGAATAGGAATTTTATTAGATGCTTCTTTTTCAACAACTTATTTCATATCTACTGTTTATTCTTCCATAAAACCATCTCCCAATATTTAATTTATTAATTTTCTAGCTATTATTTAAAATCTATCAGCTCTAAATATTCTTAGAATGTGTAAATCATCTAATTATCTTTTTAAATGATGACTATCAATCCAATCTAATTTAACCATATCATCTCTTTATACTTCATTATACCATTATGTTGGAATATCATTTTCAGGGGCTTCATCATTTAAGAAATTTAACCAACGATCTTCATTTTTATTTAAATTATCGATAAGTCTATTAAATGTTAAATTCTATTAAGTTATTCCTTCTAATTATTTCAATTATTGGATACTCAATTTCCCTTATAAGAATGTATTAGAAAATGTTGTTTCCATTACTGTAGGTGGTTTAAATACACTCAAGAATTCTTATCCTAAAATATTGTCTCCCAATTTCACTTAAGCCAAAGTTATTGCAAATACTAATTTATCTTCTTATAATAAAGAGAAATTCATTCTTTTATATATTTCTCTAAACATTTCATTAAATATTAAAATTCTTCTTTTTATTAAATCTTATTTAGGAATCTTCTACAATTATTCATTTTTATTTAAAACATTATATATAGTATCCATGAAAAATTATAATGAAAACTAATATAAATAATGAATATTGGCCAAAGATGTCAAACTAAAGAATATTTTAGAAGTTGTATTTGCCAATGGAACATATGATTATGTTGTACTCATGACTTCACTCATTATTGTGTCAGCCTATTTCATTTCTTGAACAATAACAGCTGCTTCTTTCTTCAACTTCTCTAATGTTTAAATAACTTTCTCATCTTCCAATA